CCCCAAAACCCCAAAACCCCAAAACCCCAAAACCCCATTAGAGAAGATTATCATTATAAAAAATCAAAATTATAAATTGATAAATTAAATAATAAACAATATAAATGAGTAAAAAGCGAACAAATCTTAGTAATAGTTTTTTTAGTCCTAAAAAATCTAATATTCCTACCACAAAATAAAGTTAGCATTAGTCAATGCTAATCTAATCTCCCTAGCCAACAAGAGCAAATTTCATGTCTCCCAAAATAAATACAAATGAGCAGATTTAAACAAACAGAAGATCAACTAAAGTTGAACTAGGTAGACAAATGTGTAATTAATTCATTTCTATTACAATTAATATCAATAGCGGGAGTAATATCTGAGGATTAAAAATTTGATGCAACTTATGAGCTGTTCAACTGAGAGGAGAGAGAAAGAGAACTTTAAAAAGGAATGGAAGAATTTAAAAATGTAGATCAACAGAAACTTTTTAATAGAAAACAGGTTATCAAAGTTAATGGGTTCGATATAGAATTTTCACAAAATGACTATTTATTTTAAATCAAGAAAACTTAAATTGATGTAACCTAATCTTAATAAAAGATATTTGGTGATTATCTTGGCAAAAATTGCTTTAGCTGCTAAAAATAAATGGTTAAAAAGAGTAATATGAGGCAATGCGATTTCTGTGCTAAAATAGGATGTAAGGATTGTGTTTACAAAAAATTTCCTTATCCTTAAAACCAAAATGACAAAGGTAGAATATGTAAAATATGTGAGGCTAAAATCTACATTTAGAAGGTATATAAAATCAATAATTAATCATCAAATAGACTATGTATGACATTTTCAAAGGTCTTTAAGATAGAGAAATTTATTAGGAGAGACTTTAAAAGGATATATTCTCTCAGCAAGATTAGCACAACTAGAACAGATTCGAAATTGAGTAGATCAAAATTTAACAAAGAAATGTGGCATAGCAACATAATAATACATTGGAAAAATGCCACACAAAAGTTACTTATTTTCAATAAATTTTATATAGATGGAAAACAAACAGGAGAGGCTCTAAAAATATGAAAAATTAAACACTAATTTGTCAAAGAAAATGGAACTCAAAAAGAATGAAGTAATTGAAAAGCAAATTATCATTAGAAATTTAATGGAAGAAGTTGAAGATTTGTAAGATAATTAGACATTTTGATCAAATTATTAATTAGGAGGTTTGATCTAGATAAAATGTAAGAAGAGCTCTAAGTAAAAGCAGGAGACGAATAATACATGAGAGACTATTTCAGGAAACTAAACCCCATTTAACCAAAGCAAGGAAGTTTCAACAAAAACCCAACCAAAAAGCATACTAGCTTAGAAAGATCAATAACAGAGCCATCTTTAACATTCAGTTAGTTGGAATAATAGCAAGATTAACAGAATATATATCAAGATACTGGGATGAATCATCTTGAAGCAGTTTCATCTGCTAACAGACTTAATTCAACTGGAACTAATAGCATAAATAGTCGTAGAAAAAAGTTAAATAATATGCCAACCAATAAGCCATGCTGTGATGGAGGCTGTATTATTGCTTGATTTCACTTTAAGTTCTATATCTAATAAAATATTTCTTTGATTTTAAATAAGTTATTTGAACAATTTATTGTTTGGCGGTTTTGGGGTTTTGGGGTTTTGGGG